GTAAAACATGAGAATGGTGCTGTGGTAGAACAGGCACTGGTGGAGCTTGTGGCAGCGTTGCAACGGAATGAAGCGACACTGCATAAGAGCATTGTTCTGGAGAAACCGGATCCAGTCATCTCCGAAATTGTTCGGTGTCTATTAGACGTTGTGTTGCGATTCAAGGATACGTTACCGGATATGAAGCAGAGGATTAACGATCTCTGTGGTCAATGTTTGGGACTCATCGGAGCACTGGATCCAGCGCAAGTCGAAGCTCCGCGAGAGAAAGAGGAAATGATTGTCCTCCACTACTTCTCCAAAGCTGACGAGAGTAAAGACTTTGTTCTCTTCTTCCTCGAAAAAGTTCTCGTCAAAGCCTTTCTAGCAGCAACGGAATCAAAATCCCAACTCCTCCTAGCCTGGGCCGCGCAAGAACTTCTCCGATTCTGCGACCTCACCTCGGAAACCCTGTTCTCCCGCCGCCTAGGCCAGAAAACCCCAATACAGAAAAAATGGGAATCTCTCTCCGTCTCTGCCCGGGCAACCCTTACTCCTCTTTTAACCTCCAAATACGTTCTTGGCACCAAGGCAGAGGTTCCAGAAATCACGTACCCGGTCTTTAGTAATGAAATCACGTACCGTGGCTGGATCAACACCTTTCTCCAAGACATCATGTCGAACTATGTCGGCGAAAATGCAAGCACCATCTTTAGCACATGCTTAAGGATCCTGAAAGGCCAGAATATTGCGATTTTGCATTTCCTCTTGCCATATGCCGTCACACAAAATGTGATTTGTGGGACGCCGCAACATAGCAAGAATATTGCGAAAGAGTTTCTCGCTGTAATGAAGCATCGCTGTGATAGCAGTAACCCACACGAAATTTGGTTACTCCAGCATTGTTCAGAGGCTGTGTTTATGGTTACGGATTACATGACACGCTGGCTCCGTGATCGGAGGAGGTATAATGTTGAGCAGAAGGAAAGGCAAAGGAGGAAGAATACCAATGTTCATGGCGACGATGCAGACCCGGAGGCAGATTATGATGAGCCTGTTCAGAGGGTGGATGCGTTTTTGAAGTCGATTCCCCCGGATTTGATGGGACTGAGATCGCTGGAGGTGCAGTCGTATTCGAGAGCGCTGTTGTATTGGGAGCAACATATCCGGCAAACATCTGCCACTGCGACAGAAGCTGAGATGGAGCCACTTTATCAGGAGTTGCAGAAGATATACACGCATATCGACGAACCCGATGGAATGGAAGGTATCTCCACGAAGATCGCCAACTTGGATATCGAACAGCAAGTTCTGGAGCACAGGAAAGCTGGACGTTGGACCGCCGCTTTGACATGGTATGAACAGATGGTTGAACAGAAACCCGGGGACCGACATCTCCAGAATGATCTTGTCTCGTGTTTACGGGATTCAGGACAATTTGATGTGCTCTTGCGCCAGATCGACTCAATGATGGCGACCTCTCCGGTATCACATTCCGCTTTACTTCCGTCTGCTGTGGAGGCGAGCTGGGTTACAGGGCAATGGAATTTGCTTGAGAAGTACCTCCAAATGAGCGTCCCTAAAACAAATTACGACGTCTCCCTGGGCCGCTCTCTCATGGCGCTGAAAAGGGGGGATCTCGAGGACTTTCAGAAACAAATCATGGACGCGCGTGAAGATGTTGTATCTGCAATGACGGAGACTACAGCAAGCTCAGTCCGGCAATGTCATGGGGCCTTGGTCAAACTACACGCGTTAACAGAGCTCACGGATATTGCGGCTGTTTTAAGTGAATCTACAGATCTCAGCGCCGCTGTCCGGAATGAAGACCCCGTAACTAATGCACCAGGTCTCAAAAATCGACTTGACACTCGTCTCCATCTCCTCGGAATGTATGAGAAGGATAAGCAATATATTCTCGCTCTCCGCCGTGCTGCGTTCGAATTATCGCCACATTCGGAACCAATTGAACTACTACCCCAACCAGGCCGAGTCCCCAACCAACTCCCCGTAATCGACGAACTCAAAGTATCAGCCTGGCTCTCGACTGCACGCCTAGCGCGGAAAGATTCAGCCGAGAAACAGGCCTTCAACGCCGTCCACCACGCCTTGAGACTCAATAAAACCCTTTCCGCCGTCGAACACGCGAAACTTCTCTGGCATTGTGGTCAACACCAGCATGCGATCCGTAACCTCACCAAAGTTCTCGAGAGTAGGGTTCTTGAGTTCGATGCGAGTGATAAATCGGATTCGCGCACTGTCAGCACTTCCACTACTAGTACGATTGGAACTGCTGTAACTGCTGTTGGGGGAAGATCGAGAACGGTTACAGCGGATGGAAAGATGACGCAGAGTATGAGGGTGGCAAAGGCAAAGTTGTTGAGAGCCAAGTGGATTGATGAGACTGGAAGGACGAGTAGCGATAAAGTGCTTGAACAGTACAGAGATGCGAGCTCGTGGTTTGCAAAGTGGGAGCAGGGGTTTTATTATATTGGAAGGTACTACAATAGGTTGTACATGGAACAGAGTGAATTGGATTTGGAGAACCAGACGCAGGTCTTGTGGGTACCCCCTCTACCCGAGGAAGAGAATATTGCTAATACCGGGATAGTGTCACGGGAGAGTTGGCGAGGCTCATTGCACAGAACTATGCGAGAGCTTTACGATGTGGAGTCAAGTATATCTTTCAAACGATGCCGAGACTATTGACGGTGTGGTTGGATTTGGGAGATAATATGGGTGTTATCAATACCTCCAAAGCTTTGACTCTGTGAGTTCAAGCATATTGAAGGGATCAGAAATGTACTAACAAACGGCACAGTGACTATATTTCCTTCACTGAACGAGGCCGCAAGAAGTCTCTCGATGCCATTAATGACACTATTACGCGCTCCGTAACTCGTGACCTTCTCCAGCCATGGATGGTATTTTCCCTTATTTTACTCTTAAATTAAAGCTCCTATTAACTTCTTCTCTCAGTTTTATACTGCATTTCCACAAATTATCTCCCGCATGACACACAGTCACAAAGCTGTTTACGACTGCATTGAAATAATCATTCACCAAGTCCTCAACGCCTACCCGCAACAAGCACTTTGGTCCATCACAGCCGCCTCCAAATCGACGGACGTCACGCGCAACAAGCGCGGCAACAGAATCCTGCGGAAGCTGCAACAATCCAAAGCACAACCACGCGGAAACAGGGGCCGGCCATTAGTGATGACGGATCTTGTGCAGGGCGCGACGAGACTAACGGACCAACTGGTGAGGCTTTGCAATGTTGAGATAAGCACGAAAATAATGTCGACGACCTTGTCGGCGAGTCCGATTAGTATGGATCCTGCGAAGATGGCCCCGGTGGGAATGTTTGTGCCTGCACAGAGAGTGCTGGCTATTACACTTCCTCCTCCGACGTTTGGGATGAGTGAGATGCAGGAGTATATGCCGTTTATGGAGAGCCAGCCGACAATTGAGAGTAAGTGGTCTTCTGCTGCTCTGTGATTGCAATGGGACTAATGGTAAAATAGAATTCGAGGAAAATGTGGAGATCATGAACTCGCTTCAAAAACCACGCCGCATCACCATTGTCGGTTCAGACGGAAAGCGGTACGGGTTTTTGTGCAAACCCAAAGATGACCTCCGCAAAGACCAGCGGCTCCTCGAGTTCTCGACAATGATTGATCGCCTCCTGAAGAAAGACCCCGAATCTCATCGCAGACGCTTGCGTAAGTGATACACATTGCGACTGAAGAAGTGATACTCATGGTGGCAGTTATTCGCACATACTGCGTTACCCCACTGAATGAAGAATGCGGCCTCATCGAATGGGTTGAAAACATCCGCACATTACGAGACATTATCCTCAAAAATCTTGGAGTCCGCGGGATCAAGATGAATGTACATATACGTCTCTCTTCTTCTTCCTCCCCCCCTCTCCTCCGCCCCAAAACACCAAAAGGCTGACATGTATTCCTAGTATTACGCTATTCGCACTCTCCTAGACGAGTCCTCATCCGACGGCGCCAACAACACGCAAGCCTACTACGAACTCCTCCGCATGTACCCCCCCGTCTTCGCCGACTGGTTCCTCACCACCTTCCCGGACCCCTCAACCTGGTTCACCTCCCGTCTCCGGTACACGCACACCTGCGCGGCCATGTCAATGGTCGGCTCCATCATCGGCCTCGGCGACCGCCACGGCGAAAACATCCTCTTCTCCACTCTCACCGGCGACACGGTCCACGTCGACTTCAACTGCCTTTTCGACAAGGGTCTCTCATTCGAGAAACCCGAGCGTGTACCATTCCGGTTGACGCAGAACATGGTGGACGCGTTAGGACCTTCCGGCGCAGAGGGGGTGTTCCGGAAAGCTTGTGAAACAACGATCCGCTTGTTGCGCAATAATATCGATACCATGATGACGGTTCTGGAGGCGTTTACGCATGACCCCGCTGTTGATATGGTCAGTAATGTGCATAAGCGGAAACAGAATTTTAAGCCCGGTGTGATGATCCCGCCGAGGAGTCAGAAGGAGGTGATGGAGAGGATTGTTAGGAGGTTGAGAGGCGTGGTGGAGGAGGCGGAGAGGGGAGGAGAAGCGGGCAGGGAGAGGAGGGGTGGGGGGGTGGGCGGTGAGGAGAGGTTGAGTGTTGAGGGACAGGTCGAGGTGTTGATTGGCAGAGCGATTGATCCAGATAACTTGAAGAACATGTATGTCGGGTGGTGTCCGTTCTTCTAGAAGGCTTGCTTGGAGGGTGGGTAGCGATACTATTTTGCACATAACACATTATGTTCATGAAAGTAATAATTAGTAGTAACCAAACAAGAGCTGTATTCAATCGAATCACACAAGATCACGGTGGTCAGGCGTTGTCCCGGTAACTCCAGGTACCCAACCTCAATCCCAAATGTTGTAGACCACACAGCTATCCGGAAAAATAATATCCAGCAACAGAATGTAACAGCATCCATGGCACTCTGGAAAAACAAAAAAAAAAAAAAAAACAGGAAAAAGAAAAGTTGGCCCACTCCAGGATTTGAACCTGGGACCTCCCGCAACCTTGGTAGCCCAAAGCGGGAATCATAGCGACTAGACCAAGTAGGCATCACTGAGTATTTTCATACCGGTTGTTAATTGTTAATGATTATATATATGACTGCATCTGAACTTCACTTTGCTCATCCTCGTGCGGGGCAGGTTCTTTCATGTGATGACGAGTGGCGGCGGTAAACGGTGAGTGGCGAGTACATGGTACCAGATCAGAACTACGCTGCATGTCGATTCAAGCCCCCAATAATAATTTGCTTTCCATCGCTGGATTTCAACTCCCGAGATCTCAATACAACACACGTATAGATAACCGACTTTCCGCATCAAAAACTCCCATTTCGTGAACCACCAAAAGCCCGAAACAACAACAGCATCCCCCCGCGGTAGTTGAAAACCGCATACATCTCTCATCTCCATCGTCTACTACTCCCGCCACTGCTACTAACAACAAACCAACCCCCCCACATCATGCACCCGAAACCCAACGCCGGATATGTTGAATGAAGAATCCCAAAGCCCAAAAGCCCATAGCCCAAGTCCGAAACAAACAAACCCTCAAAACGTAAAAAAAAAAGCAAAGCAAAATGTCAGATATCATACAAACCAGATGGAAAAAATATGTGAGAAAAGATGAACAACAAATGGGGGGTAAAAAAAGAAAAAACAAAGAAAAAACAAGACAAACGTTGAGAATGTCCTCTAAGGTGTATCGATAATGCTCTGTGAGTTGAATGTACAGATGATAACTGTGATGATTATGGTGAATGTTGTATCGCCGCCGATTCGCCATTTACCGGGAGCCCTTTAGAGCCTAAAATAGGTCAGTACTTTGCGCCCCAATCAAACCCTATAGGATATTCCAAGAACTCACCAAATGCATAAACTCCTCACGAGTCCTTGTGCTCTTCCGGAACACGCCGAGCATAGAGCTTGTCGTAGTAGTCGCAGTCGTTTTTCCCACTCCACGCATAACCATGCAAAGATGTGCGCTTTCCATGACAACGGCGACACCACGTGGCTGCAGAATTTCCTCGATCGCCATGGCGACCTGTTTCGTGAGGCGCTCTTGGAGCTGCAGACGGCGGGCAAACATTTCGGCGATGCGGGCAAACTTGGAGAGGCCAAGGACTTTGCGGTTGGGGATGTAGCCAATGTGCATTTTTCCGGTGAACGGGACCAGGTGGTGCTCGCACATGGAGAAGATTTCAATGTCCTTGACAATAACTATCGAGAGGGTTAGTTCGAGTTATAGGACAATGGAAAAGATGCATACCGAGCTCATCGTGGTCTTCTTCGAATACGGCGTTATTCACGATTTGCTTCAGGTTCTCTTCATAGCCCTTGGTGAAGTAGAGCATCGCCTTTGCATACCGTTGAGGAGTGTCAAGAAGACCCTCACGGTCCGGATCCTCCCCAATGCATTCGAGGATAGTACGAATTCTAAGTCATGTTAGAGACCAATTGGGGGCACAGTCACCCTCCGAGGGCACTTACGCTCCAGAGAGGCTTTCAAGGCGCTTCTGGGACTCCTCCGGTGTCGCCTCGAGTCTTGCCTTCGTCCCAAGACTGGGCCAGCTGAGGCCGTCAAAGTCAACCGGCGGGTTCATGGTGTATGGAGTAGCCGGTCTTGAGATTTGGGGGGTGGCGAGTCCATTGAGGCTCGCAACTGTCCCAACAGGAAGATGAGGTCTAGGTTGCGGATGCTGGTGGCTATGATGAAGAGCGACGGCGGTGCGAGCTCTTTCCGCTGTGGTATGGGTGCTGGGCGCAATATCATGCTGAGGCCCCCGAGGGGTGTCCCGAGATGCGCTGATTTTCAGACTCTTGAAAAGCTCCTCGGTGGAAGTCTCGGAGGGAGGAGTGGTGGTGCCATTAGCAGTCGAGTGGTTGTCGACAGGCTCAGCGAGGGCCGAAGCCTTGTTCATGGGAGCAGTGGTGGACGACATGGTTCGGAAGCGCTTCGGAAAAGTCGAACAGGGACGAACTGCGAAGAACAGGCGAGTAGGCCGGAGCGCCTGGCAGGTAATGTAGAGAGTTATGGCGGAAGGTGGGAGGAGGAACGAAATGAGATGTGAGATGGCAACGAGCACGAGGGATGCAAAAGACGAGGAGATGAGGGCGGGGGGAAGCAGGATTAGTGTCAAGTATAGCGTGAAGGGTGTTGCGCAGGGTCTATAGTCATCCGGAGAAGCTGGGTGGCGGGGATGCTTGAGCACCATGGCGGGAAGCTTGAATTTTCCTGAGGCGAGGGCTTAGGGCTTGGGGCTTGGGGCTTAGGCTTGCCACGCTAGCAACAATAGTCCATTGGATAGTGTATGAATCCATTGGCTGAACTAACCAGATCATGTCCTAATATTGCGATGGCTAGATCTAGTTACTATCTACATCTTTCCAATAGACATCCATCCAGTCTGCGTGGCACCTCATCTGCCAGCTCCACCTCACCTCCATCCCCACAGCTCCCCACCCGCCGCCCCACCTCCATCCCTCTCGCCTCTCGCTTCCCCACAGCCGTAATGCCGTTTCGGGGCGCCTTAATCGCCGTCGAAGGCCTTGACCGCTCCGGCAAGACAACCCAATGCTCCCACCTCTTCCGCTCTCTCACCACCCTCTCCACCAAGACCTCCCTCCCTTCTCCCCAACTCCTCAAATTCCCCGACCGCACAACCACCACCGGCCAGCTCATCAACACCTATCTCACCTCCTCTCTCCCTCTCGCCGATGAATCCATCCACCTTCTCTTCTCCTCCAACCGGTGGGAAGCACGCGCGCAAATTCTCTCACTGCTGGAATCTGGGGTCACGGTGATCCTCGATCGTTATGTGTATTCTGGGATCGCGTTTTCCGCGGCAAAGGGGTTGGATTACGGGTGGTGTAGAAGCCCAGATGTAGGCCTGCCGAAACCGGATTTGGTGGTGTTTTTGGATGTGGAGGAGGAGGTGCAGAAGGAGAGGGGTGGGTGGGGGGAGGAGAGGTACGAGACGATTGAGATGCAGAGGAGGGTGAGGGAGGTGTTTAGGAGATTGAGGGAAGAGGAAGGGGGGTGGTGGGTTGTTGATGCGGGGAAGGGTGAGGAGGAGGTACGGAGTGAGGTGTGGAAGGGAGTGGAGAGGGTGGTGGAGGAAGTGAAGGGGAAGGAGGTGGGGGTGTTTCGGTAGATGGAGCGCTATCAGGCAGAAAGACCACCGAAGGGCCGGCTCAACAGCGTAGATATTGTATCTGGCCGGATACTTGGCGGATTGAATAATTATTTCTAATATCACGTTCCGGAGATTAAGGCCGTTCCGATCTTTGAGATTATGATGCGGAGATCGATTAGAAATCAATGCTGTGTCCGTGACTCGTCTCAATTCATTACCTTGGTATCAACCAACATCTAACCCTTCACCCACTCACTCCCATCTATCACCAAATATACACACCCTCTCACCCCGCATACACAACGCCCTCCCACTCGGCCCCCTCCTCCTCCTCCTGCACTTCCGCACTAAACGCCAACTTCTCCAACTCCCTCACAAAAAAGTCCATTTCGGCCTCCCTCATCTTCTCCTCCATCCCCATTTCCTTCGGCCACCTCCTCGTATTATAAAACATTGTCAACGCCCTGAGTGCATTCTCCTGGGGCACACTTTCCTCAACCTCCTCATCGATATCGCCACCCGCAAGCCAGTCATCGCGTAGCTCCGGTCTGCAGTGAAGATATATACTCGTGATGACGCGCATATTGCTCTGGCGCCATTTCCGACCGCAGTATGGGACTTGACCTTTAAACACCTTGAGGGTGTAGAGGCGGAGCTGGCGTTGCGGGCATTTGAGGGCTTTGCGGAGGAGGAGGGAGGACTTGTATTGGACTAGGGCGAGGTTGCGGTGCGCTTTGTTTTTGACGACTTTTTGGAGAATGCGCATGAGGTTTGTGGAGGTGAAAAAGTTGCGCCAGGAAAAGAGCGTGATCATTTCCGGGATGCCGTTGGCGCCGCCGTCGAAAGAGTCGGGGTTGGAGGGGAGGGATTCTTGGGGTGGTGGTGGGGGTGAGTCCCGCGGGTTGAGGGATTGGTTGGGATGGCGGAGGATTGGTGGGGGGCAGGCGGAGTCGGGAGAGGAAGAGCCGGGGGTGTTGAGGGGCCGCGGATGGAGTGAATGGAGGTTGCAGATACGGAAGTAGGTTCGTTCGGCATGGTCAGATTGTGCTGTGAGATGAGCAACCACATCTTGCTGGTTGAGGATCTTGAGGAGGAGGGGAATATAGTTGCTGTCCAACAGCAGCTGGGTGAGGTATTCGAATTTAAGGATGTCTGCGCGAAATATGAGTTTCTACCAGATCAAGGGAATTGTGGGGTTACTCACGAGAAACACGAAACCACTTCAAGAGCATCAGAAGCAGGCCTGTCACAGCCTTGGACGCAATCTCACGATTTCGGACACCATCAAACTCTTCCCACTGCTTTGCCTCTTCCGCTTCTCTCTCCGCTTGTTGCTGTGCTTGCTGTTGTTCCCAGGAAGTTGATCCCCCCTCGTCAATCGTACCCAATCCACCGCCCCCCCTCCTTCGGTCGAAGATACTCCACGAGTGGCGCAACGAGTTTGAGGCACCAACATCTCCATCGTTCGGCGCTGGATCAGACACAACCATCTTCGAAAGACCGTTGCCTAAACATATCAGCATTGAGTTTTGCGTGGTGGTAGGTATCAAACTAACTCTCGCCATCTCCGGCATAGGTATTCTGTGGGGGTGGAGGAGCAGGAGCAGGAGCAGGAGGTGGTGCCACCGCAATACTCTGTAACATGACCTTAAACATGACAATCACCAAGCTCTGCAACTGCGGCAATGCTGCTTGCTGTATATAGTCAGTATCTCTATATCATAGGTTCACGATAAAGACTCACATAGACCTCTTGCACACCCCTTAATCTCTTCTCCTCCCATCTGGGAACTCTATCCTCAACCTTCCACTTCTCCTTTTCCAACTCCCTCTCCTCCTCTCCCACCATCCAACCTCTTCTACTCTTCTCGAATGCCTCCTTCTCATTCCATAGCTGCTTCATAGCCATCGTGG